AAGTAAGTAATTGCTGAATTGAAATCATACATAAACTACTTGAACAATGCGGAACTGAAAGAATTGGTTTGCTCGGGTTTATATATCATATATATATCATATTCAAACTATGCTTGTTGTAAAAGCAGACGAACTCCGAAATATATATCAAAGTTATTCTAGCTAATATATTTGTATTATAGAACCAATACTACCTACCAAGATATGTGAAATAATGTGACAGAAAAACAGTATTTGGATGATGGAAATTCGAGAATATGGCAAACCTTGTTCCCTATATTACTGACAGAATGCAGTCACTACTTAGGTTTCCTTCCGTTCGAAATAGACCATGATCTATGCTAATCATAAATACTTATTATACACCCTATGGATTCGAAATCTGTCAGCAAAATCCAAATGCCTATATGCCTTTCAGATTGGGTATCAGTTCTTCGTTGATATTCGAAAATATATTATGAATTCCACGATTAAATTCACTAAGCAAAACGTCACTTTCCACTCTTCTATTTTTAACTTTATTAGGTACTTTTAGTTTACTGTGTACAGAAACAGCCATTTGAGTTAACCATGCTGTGTTTATCTTTACTTGTGTCAGCGTGTTAACTCCATACATGTATGAAAGTGGAAACAGAATACCGATGTGAGGGAACTCTAGATTCGATTATTGCAAATCAATAACTTTTATTGGTAATGCAATGGATATAATGTTAATTACTTTCTCATTACGATTCTAATGTAACGAATAAGATTTATTGCCAAATTCTCATTAGACCCAATGTAATCATTAATTTTAATGTGATATTATCTACGAAGGTAAACTGGACAGTCCAAAGATGAAACAAATGTTGATGGAAGGAATAATTTTAAGTGTTTTTGTGCAAACCAATTGTATTACTTACTCATTATTACGCCCAGAGTTTGCGGTTTGGTGATACTTGCAAATGTCATTGAGATCATCAGATGAAGCGCTAAATAAGATGGAGTAGTACAAACTAGTCTTAATTTTATTGACTATCTATATTACGTGTAATTAAATTTAAGTTTTTATTCCACAAACAGTTAGACCCCTCTTAGTGCATTGTCAGTAACTAGAAATCGAATGTGATTTTGTAAAAATTGTTAGGAAGTCAACCTCTAGTCTGTTTCGTCTAATGGAGAGATAGGAGTCTGTCTTAAAAATCAATATTTATCACTCAAATGAAAGTAATGAAAAGGCTTAGCATTATTTTAAACATTTCAGACATCATAGAAGATGTGGGGTGTTCAGACTCTACATAATTCTAAGGTATTAACGCTTGTTGTTTAGTATGAAAAAAATGTGGAATAGAAAAGTTAGCAAATTTAACATTATGCTTAGAAAATCGAAATGTCAACACATGACGACATGACAATCTGATCATGTCTCCACATCTTAACTGACATGAACGAAAATCTCTCTTTTCTGAAGGTAGAGACGGTATGTTAGGTTGACCTAACCAATCAGATGTTAGTAGACGTTCAGATAGATCAAATGCTGTTACGTGGCCACATGGTAAGAAAAAGATATAATTATGCGTTTACTGTAGTTGATGTTTGAATTATGCGTCTGGTATAAATTACCACTATGATATTAAATTATGAATATATGCATCGTGTCTGATAATATTGATTGAGTTTCGTCACACATCTTCGCAAGCATCTCAATTATGTTTGGGCTGAATCAAATACTAACTTTAAAAGAACCAATCTTATTTTATGTCACAATGCAATATAGTGGGCGAATAGAGAATTTATTGACCGTGCTTCGTTCAGTCAAATGAGACGAGATGCTGCGATACATTTTGTGACACTGAAGTAAAACTTTTACTAAATCGATGATCACAGAAACATAAATATAGTAAAACATAAGTGAAACACAGAATAGAAATATTTAGTCACTAACACTTTTACACTACGTAAACATCATTTACTGAAATATGTTACCACTCTTCAATAAATAGCGATGTAAATTTCGATTCCGTTATTGAAATCGGAATGAGGTCAAACTTTTTATTTATTTAATAGATTGATGCATACAATTCATTCATCTAAATGTTTCTCTAAAAAACACTTTGTCTTCACAAATATAAAACTCAAACTTAATCGATTCGAAAATTGAAACAAATGTCCTCTAGAGAAAATGAAGAAGTTACCGATTGCCAGTTAAAATTTTCAATTATGCAAATTCTTCTGGTTATTTCAGAAACTAAGAACAACCAACGTCTCCTATCTTCAACATCCGATTACCGACAAATGTATCTAGGAAAATTACATTGGTAATCATCTTTAAACATTAACAACCATCATAGTTTAAATGTGATGTAGAGAATTATCAGATTAATTTCACGTAGAAAAAGTGGTCAAGTAGGATTATTCAATATGTAATGTGAAATAATGGATGCTTTGGAAATCTGAGCCAATAGTGACGAATGAAAAACTATTGAATATACTACTTAACAATTTGGAAGTAGTCAAGTGAATACAAAGGTAATAACTGAATGAAAATTGTGGACATGCGAAGTATAACGCAATAAGAAAGCATTCTGTAACTGAGGTAAGCAATGAAACTTACGCTTTAACAGTTGGGCGAGTTGCGTTTTTCTCTCTGAAAACAATTGAAAATGTTAATGACATTTTGATTTGTCTTGCATTGAAAATTTCTAAATGAGTATTTACTATTTCTGAGATAATAGGATAGACCAATCATCTTAAGCTAGGTTTACCCATACATTTTCTCTTGAGAAATAACGATGTATTAGCTGTAGATTACTTGGACTTTGAAAACATTCGACTAACAGGAATTAGACTTTTCACGGTCTAGACGATGACTATCAAAATAATGAAGGCATTAAACACTTGCTTCTTGCTTGTTTGGGATTATTCAGAACTACACAGGAACAACTCTGGATAATATCTAACACAAATGTTTTAGATGTCTTGGTAAACACGATACTTTCAGACTACTGAGTCTGAAGTTATGGTCTGTAAATTAATTTCACTTCATTTTCGATATTTGCTTGGAAATCATCCAATTTCATTGGTAATATTTGCTTCACTCGTGATGTGACTGAAATCCACCTAGTACAGCTTCTCAGTAGAATGTTGCGAAACCACATCCAAGTTATTCTCTATGGGACAAATGATCTAAATCTGCAGTTACATTTATTTAGTTTTACGTGTATCATGAAATTGTATTAACTGTATATAGAATCTAACTTTTTATAATCAATGTTCAATCCAGTACAAACGTGGATTAACTAGGAGCTTATTCAGAAGGATCTATCGAATTTGCACTAACGATGCAGTTGAGAGAGAAAGTAAATGTCTTTACTGAAGCACTGATGAATGAGAGTTACTAACTTGAGTTTATAAAGCGTTGGTATGACAAAGATGTAATAAGAACTACTAAGTTCTCGGCATCCAAGAAGCGAGTCTATATTACTACACCATTAAGAGGTAACTCATATGGTCTTATGGTAGGACTCATCAACATCAAAAGTTCTAGGTCTATGTTTTATAAAATACTCAAAAAGCATGTGACTAATTGTACCACAACTCATTCCATCTATCAGTTTACATGTATGTGCTGAAACACATAAATACGAGAAATAATCTCGATCTGCTGGTAAGGGTTGATGTATACAACTAATTGGCTATGAAATCGAATGAATCCCAAGCATCAGACAAGGTCACAGAAGTGACAAATATCTTCCTCCACTGGGAACCGTTTTATTGAGACTTATCAAACGTTCAATATCAAGTCAGCGTTTGTACTGTTGTCCAGAAGTGTTCAAGAGAATATACTAAGGTTTATCGAAGTGATAACTATACAAAAACTGAAGCCACCGTTTTGTGCTCAAAATGTGTTGTGCAAATATATCACATAATTCTGAGAACGTACATCATCTTTCCGCAGAATAGTTAAACTAATACTGTTATTACTAATGAAGTAGGTGAAATGATTTTCATTTAAAATATTAAAGAACATTCATTAATCTACAATAATTCTTACTCATTCATTATAAATCTCCACGCTTCACGAATATGTTCCCATAGAAGTGTCTGGCCGATAGGATACATTGCCACAGATGAAAGTGCATCCAATAAATCCTGAGGATCCTTTTGATTATTTTTTATGACCCATTCCAAATGTCTAAATTATCGATAACATGAAAAGTAATAGTCGATTTCAACAAAGTATTTATTTGTATTTAATTTTGAATTATTCAGGTAATAGGAACTAAACGAAGTAGGTAATCGAATATTTGAAAGAGATACAAATATTTTATTGTTATTTAAGCAAAATGGTTATTCAAACTTTTTTAATTTGGTGCATGAACTGACCAATATTAAACAACCATTGGAAGCTTCGACGAACTGGACAGTGAACTGCTGAGGAGTTCCAAACTTGGACGAAACAGACGTCCAGTACTTCCATATATTCAATGGTGGCCTAACATTGATCAGTTCATGATGCCAATTAAGCAAAACTCAACAATCTCCACAATCCTATACTGGTATTCAAATTTTGCTCGGTTTGTCGATAAATGTCGTGTCAGATTGAAATCACACACAGTTTATAAATCATTTTTTGTTATTTTCTCTTGCTATTTGAACTCCAAACTTTGTTAGGCTAAATGAAAGGACATATCTCATAACTAGTGGTTATTGTTACGGCGTTGCTACTTCAATATGATCATACATTAAACATTTTTTAAATATTAGTTTGCCTCATTACATGTAATTTTAAACCATAATACCCCATATCGGTGAAATATATAAATTTTAATATTATAAGCAAACACGTTAGCTGCATTAATAAATGCTGACTGAGTGGTCTGATGACCGAAAGCTGACATTAATCAATTGATTACTCATAAAACACTAAACCTCATATAATGAAAGCGTCTTCCTACGAACTATCAAAGCACCTGAAAAAAACAGCGATTACTAAAATGTAATATAACTCACAGTCTTACTATCCACATATCACGAGAACAAGACAATGCTTGTAAAATACTATTTTTCTCATCCTCTTTGATATCCACTTCTAATAAACGTTGTTTTAGGAACTCCCATTCTTTTTGTCCACCGATTCTAATTGCTGTGCAATAAACAGCTGGCCTCAAACTTGGTGGGATCCTTAAACATAAAACGGATGAAAAATTAGAGGATAATGGATAGTACTACATGTAGAGTAAACAATATCACAAATTTTATTATAAAAAGAACTTTATTCGTTCAACGCGGAAATAAAACTAAACAAAATAATTAAGTTATTTGAAGCAATCCACAAGTTAACAACTGATATACAAATTCCATAGATATGGACCAGTCAATACAAGTGAATGATATACAACTTGTTGGTCGCCAATACCTTGCATTTAATAGATCCAAAGCAGGACATGTCTAAGAATGTAATTTTTCTAAATTTCACTTAGTAATTATTTCAAAATCATAACAGTTCAACAGGTAACTTACAAATTTTGTGAAGGATTAAGCATCCAATTTCTGTAATATTCTGTAGCCATTTTAACGCATGAATGATGTTCAGCTTGACATGCTAGACGAGTTAATGTCAGGCGCAACATACTTAAATAAAAAACAAGCACAACCGATGAAATAAATGAAGTTTCAACAATAATTACATTCAATTGTTCTAATCAGTTGTCTAATCTGAATATAATAAACAATTAACTGGAATAATAAAACTAACATAAACACTCATCCCTTTATTTTGTTTATTTATCTTCATTTTATGAATGATGTAACTTATTGGATTCATATAATATAGGAAAATTGTATGTTTTCTCAAATTTCACCGATCAGAGGCGGTAAATATTGAGTGAAATTTCTTCTCACACCACTTACGAATACACACAATGTGTTATCTTGACACACTTTTCATCTCACATCACATGTCTCTTACACACTAACGCGAATACCTACTCATAAGGTTGTATAACGTTGATCGGATGACCTCATTAGTATACAGTTAATCACAGAACCAAATGTACAACTGGCATGACCATGTTCGATAATTTTGATGTTAGATTATATTTCCTTGAAAAGCTTGTACGAGATTGCCATAGAATTAATTTTACAATATAGGCTGTCTACCTTCAGAATGAGCTGAATATTTTATCTCAACCATTTTTATTGGGTCAGGCTTGTACAATTGATAATGAGCAAGCTAAGATTGCAAACCTGACAAGTTTCTTTAACATCCTCTTTTCCAAATATATCCTAAGATATTTAGCCCTAAAGAAATACTTCATTCATTGAGAGACAAATAAGTAAACTTACATTGTTTTGTTCATGAGACGAATCAAATCATAAAACCAGTATCATCACACAGAATAGTGTTTAAATACAAATGGGAAAGTATACAGTCAAGTATAAATATGATTACATATCGATATAAAAACACCCCGTACGTTATTGAAGGTAACTCCATGTCAGAATTATGAACAGTGAACGAATATGTTTAATATGATAATAGTGATAACATGGTTATTTGTCCGGCGAGACTATAATAGATGGATGAACCAGATTTAAGATAACATATGTGAGATTTTGGCGCGAAGTTCATTCGCTCATTTGGCTTTGTACGAGTTTGGTATTATAGCTCATGTCGGTTAGTGATGAAAAGATTAAGTCGAATTCCTAACGAGAACATCTAAATGTAAATCCTAATCCTAATTCCTCACACTAATGTATAAGACTTATTTAACCCAAGTAAGTAAGTAGACATTCCAAGGTCATTTTAGAGTCGTTACAAGGCTGTCCATAAAATCTTGTCTCACCAGCTTCTCTCATTCTATGGATTCTGTATCCAACATACTCCACTAAATCGGAATAAATAATATTCGTTTGCACTAGGCAACATATTTTCATAGGCTCTTGCTGGTTATCATCTAATGAAATGGATACAGAACACAGTTTAAAAACATTTACGTAACCTACTGCTTCATATGATCTTTATCTTCTTTCATTGTTGTCCAGTCGACTGATTTAAGAGGATCATCTACAAGCGTACGCAAATATGCTTGAAAAGCTCCATAACTCTCGTCCATGGCAAGCATACGGTCTAAATAAGATAGTGCTCGTCGAGTCGTTTCCCATACAACATACTGATCTTCTTTTTTCAAATATTTTGTCAGATTTAAGTAGACGTCGTATGAAACAGTAGCACGACTTTAAATATTTAATAACTTCCAACTTTTACAGAAGTTGTTAACAATATAAAATCTTCATTTTAAAACATTAAAAAGTATTTTTACATTATTGAATCGGAAGAACAATCCAACATTGATAAGTGTTAGCTGTTAGTTTTATGATGAAAATTGTGGTTTGTAACAAGGTTGTACAAGGTAGCAACAATCTGATTCACAGTGGATAAATTGCACGATAGTGATAAATAAACAAAAGAATTGTTTTCGGTCACTATATTGGAAACACAAACGGTCAGTGGACATTTATAAATGATGTGCAAGTCAGTCAACAATGCACAAATAGAATTTAGTAAATTTACTTAACCTTGTTATCATTATACTCATAATAGTTCAACAAATATAGCCTTCATCACTTCTCGTTCATTAAACAGTAAACATCATAAAGCATTATGCATTTAAAATCAAGTTACTAATAGTTTATCTAAGAAGAGACGATAAAGCCTTTTATATGCAACAGTATTTGAAGAAGATGAGAATAAACTCGAAGAAATCTTCCTTGTAAGTCCGAAAACAGTCACACTTTCACACCTCTTATTTTTTAGGTACTTTTCTCACCGTAAAAGTATCCCTAGTCTAAACTCTTTGGTTCACTTGAGTGATACGAACTCATTATTTTATATTAATCCTAGCTGTTCCTTCTGATGAAAACTTTTAATTTAACATTATACAATTATTGTTATTATCAAAACAGCTCCGATAGACTTTTTCCATTTTTGTATCATGATCATATTGTTTGAATCATCACCTTATAGAATTTCTCTGAAATATTATTATGGAAAGTGATCTTGTAGGGATTCGTGTTAGATATCTATTGTTTTCAATGTATCATATTAATTCAGTTGAAACTTATTGTTAGGTTAATAACGACAAATGCAATACAATATTTGGTTACAGAGAAGGTTGCTGAAAATATATTCTCAAACATTCCTTGTGTTAGTATTATCTGTTATTTATATTTCACATCTTTTGAATTCGGAAACCATTTAACTTATCCACGCATATATTCAATTCAATTATACTTTTAATGTATTTAATATGAAGTTCCTGGCCAACACAATAAAACGTTTTATAGATTTATACCTTCAAAGATCGTGTAACAAGAAGCTGTTCATTTAAATATGTAAGTAATAAAATTTTAATTTCAATCGAATGCATACCATATGATATTATGTCAAACAATCAATATAGGTAAGTACACTTACTTTGCTAAGTTGAATAAGTCATCCAAAATTTGTGTTCGTGAATGAAGTGGAATAGCCTAATCACAGAAAATATCGAATCAATTAATTTTTTTATTTAGTAAATACAAAGTGATTATCAGTAAAGTTGTGGAGATTGTTAAATTTTTATTGTGACCATGATTCGGTCGATGTTACTGTGGATTGGTTCAAGTTAGATATTAACACCGTTGGATGTCAGCTTGGTAGTCTAGAGTTCAAGGATTCCCTCGAGAACGAAGATTACGGGTTCGGGTCTCACGTGCGGGATCGTACATGTGGACTACTAAGGAGTCCAATACTAGGAAGAAACGGTAGTCCAGTGTTTTCAAGTTTTCAATGATGGTCTAACTTTGGTCGATTCAAGATCTCAATAAAAATAAAAATGATTGTTCACTATGTGGCTAAAACGATTTCAAATATTACTTTGCTATAAATAAAATGTTATTAAGTCTAAATCATTATAATTATTGTGACGTCTATACGAGTTCAATTGGATAAACTGTTAACAGATACTTCACAATCATAAGCTAGTTTATCAAAGTAATTATCTTTATACAGACTTTGAAGGTGATTAATCTTAAGAATTTTTCAAATAACGGTTACTACTTACACGGTGATCTTTATACAACTGTTCTGTCAATAGTTCCCAGTTATTGTCGGCATAATGAACACGATAAAATCCAGCTTGTTTAATGTTGAATAAATACCAAGAATTTTCTGCAACATCTAATGTTTGGGTCATTGTCTCTGTTGAAATTAAAGTAAATATTTGTGGAAATGCTATGAAATTGCTGAATGTATATGTTCCTAAGTGAACATCATCGCATAAGAAGGAAAAGAGGTTAATGTATTATCATCAGTGTATGGAAAACCAAATAAATAATTTAACATGATCCAAGTCTAGGAAGGTTTAACGTTCAATTATATATACTAAAATAAATCAACATAATCTGAGAGCCATTTCAAACAACAGAGGACTTCATGGATATTTTATCCTAGTCCCAATTTTCTCAGCACTTAGTGCCCATCACAGTATATGATGGAAAGCCGAGAACTTTTAAATCTCAGCCTCATTAAGAAATCCGTAGACCATTGAGGTGAAATCCATCAGTCACATTTCCACTTTCAACCAATCAAAAATACTATATGCCTGCTATTCAACTGCATGAGATATATATGTTTCACTATTAAATTCGATGAATTTCACTAAGTAAATGCTCTCGCTATGAAACCTTAGGATCCTGGGTTCCATGGTATTTTGCGAACATGCTGACAAAATTCAGACTCTTCTGACCACCGTAAGCAAAAATGCAAGCATGTTCGGAATGCGATTCTCCCACTCGAAATGCAAAATGTTGCTTCAGGATTGGGTTGCATCGGCACTTGAAATAATGATAGGGAGAGAAGTAGTTGAGCGTGTCGACTGCTTCACTTAACTTGGGAGTTTTATCAGTCTTTGTGGTCTGGTGTGTGACAAAATCTCCATGGATACAGAAGGCTCGACTAGCTTTTGCCAACTTGTGTCATTTATGGCGTAGGCGAGATATCCGTCTATCAACCAAAGGACGTGTTTACTGCACAGCAGTTCGTTCCGTCCTACTTTATGGTTGTGAAACATGGCCGGTAAGAGTAGAGGATATTCGTAGGTTACTAGTATTCGTCATAGGTGTTTTCGAAACATTGCTCGTATATCCTGGGACCACCGAGTAAGTAATGCAGTTGTTAGGAAACAGGTACTAGGTAAGGATGGCAAATCAATTGACGAGGTAGTGAGACTTTATCAGTTGAGATGGCTGGGACATGTGTGACGTAAGCCCAACCACCGACTGCTCCGACGTGCGATGTTTTATGGTATAGGAGTAAGTTGGAAGAAAGCTAGGGGAGGCAGGACCAAAACATGGCATAAATCCATGAAGCCACTGACAAGTGTACTGAGCCATATTGGTAGGTGTTGACTACATAGTTGGGGTCCACGAGACGATAGCAACCGATGGTCACAGACCCTGAATGACGTGGCTCAAAATCGTTAGCAATGGCGCAGGTGCATCCACTATTTGTGTTCTCCCGAATTCTTATCTCCTGAATCCTCGTCTCTCTTTCCTCTTTCCAAATTTATTTCACTGGATTATACTTGTTTAACAACTAGTTGATAATCAATTTTATAATATAGTGACGTAATTTGATTAATGTTCACTTTTATGTCCCAAACTTATCTTATTTTTATTATTATCTTTATCATTGTGATTATTATTATTACACCTGATAACCTTTTTGAGATATATATCCAGCATCCACCCCTATCTACATATTACGCAATTTCTGATTCTTATTCCATTATTTTCTCTCTCACCTCATGTTGATCATATTTATTCTGATCATTTATCTTACAATTGCATTTCACTTATAAGCTGATTCAAGTCAACAACCTCATATTAGTCATCCCAACATTAACGATTTGATTTGATTTTATATGACAAACAATTCTTGATTCACATGTTACAATTTTAAATGATGTACACTGCCATAAACTTGGCCAATTTTATGGATTATTAATTTGGACTCATAATTGTAGAACCTGATGGGAAATTATTGAAAAGAAATTCTTCGTTCATACAATTGTGTTTCCAACCAATAGTGTTCGCTCATTACAAAAATTTACCCAAAATTCGATTTTCAATATCTAATCCCCATATTACAATAGAATCTATAATGGCAGTGTATGTAAAATATATAATAAAAATTTATATTTCATCGAATGTCTATGCCTCCAATATAAAGATTTAGATTATTAATTCCTGAATAAAGCAAAGAAAAATCACTTATCTTACTGGACATAAAAAGCTGCCACTATACTCAAAAAATCTTTTAACTGAAGTAGTTCAATCATAATATCTAGTTAAGACATCTTACTTAGTCACCACTATTGATTGGTTTGAGTAAATACTTTCTTTATGTTAAAAAGAAATTGAGAACATCACTCACATTAACAATATATTTAACTGGTTTACAAGTGATACAATTTTACTATTTATTTATTCTCTGAAGAAGTGACTTACACTATGTCATGAAACGTCGAAAAATCTATTTTAGTTCTACTCATTGGGATACTACAAACATTATTTGATTTACAATTCTACTATAGTCAAATAAGCGTTATAAAAAATAACTTTGTATTACATGATATTAACTAAATCAACTTAACGTTCATTTATGGCTTAAATTAATTTAATATTCAGTGTCAATTTGACCACTTATGTACATAGCTTCCGTGAACTAACTATTTTTCATAGTTATGATTCATGATCAAGATTCTAGAAACATTCATTATATTACTATGATTGATATTTCCAATCATCTAATTTACAATACTTCACTTCCTAGGTTATTCCACCTACCCATATTTAATTCATTAGTATATATTACTACAGTACAATTATCACTTGGTACTTATAATAAGTAAATATATACAAAAACGAGGTAAAGAAAACAATGACTTGCTGTTCATCATCCAAATGACATCTGTTTCATCCCAGTTAATAGTCTTTGCTGATCCATAAGTCAATGGTATTTTCCAAGTAAAGCTAAAAGTAAAGTGATCAATTAATTTAACTTAATTTTACATAAGTATTTTTTTTCTAAATCATTACTATGAGTGCTTAATAGCTGTATAGATAGATGGATTAAACTGTGGTGTATACTATTTATGTATATAAGTAGCACGTAGCACCAATCGGAAGTGGAATGCATGCCAGCAGAACACTGGGGAGATTCATTTGAAGAAAACATAAGAGGAAAAAGAAAGTAGTTATAATAACAACAGAATTGAAATATTCATAAAGCATGTAAAGGACAACTGAAGGAAGATGTGTAAATCATGTAGTTGATGCATGATTTTCATATTTTACCAAGATATTTTGTAATTTTCTATTGAATCATAAATTGATCTTTCTCACCTGGGCCTTTGATCACTACAAAACCACTCAAGTAAACGATAAAAATGTTTTGTGCAATAAAACCATATGTAATTTTAAACAAATTTAATTATTCTACTATTAAAGGGTCTCCTGTACACCTGATACGATTATCAGAATCGAAAAATACCATTCACTTACTGAAACTACTACAGAGATATAATGTGTCTACGAACAATTAAAATTTAACACTTCTTAATCATATACAACATATGAGTTCTCTATGAATGTACTTATGTTCAGCAATATGGATATATCTATATCAATATATATAAACATATAAACTTAAAGTACTGTTTTGCGTCTTATGTCACATGTTCAGACAAATATTGTAATAACAAATCTTCAAGTTCCTGACATCATTTTAAACCACACTGCAGGCTATCCTTCCTTAGAAAATAATGTTTTAATTTACATGTTCAATTTAGATAGATATCATCTATTTCGCTTATAATATTATTGAAAATATATTATGCAGTTTGAATGACTTTCTAGGTTCAAGAATATAGATTTATGTATAAAAACAGTTGATTGTTAATTGTATTCAGAAAATATGTTAAGTATTGTCTCTAATATTCATAACTATTTCATTTAAAGAAACGTTTCCAGTAGAACCTCTTGATATCCGCATTTATTTAGTACGTGTGTAAACAAACGTTAATGATACTAAACAGTCATTTAATACCTTAATCAGCTAAACGGATCTAACAGGCTGAAAGTCTATTAATCCAACTTCTTCCTCTAAAACACTTTTAACATTGCTTTTAGTAGGCTTCAATATGGATTAAGCGAATGAATAAGCTGAAACTATTTTCTACTGAATGCTATTGGTTTTGTCAAATTTCAGAATAAACAATGTATGTATTAAGGATATATGTTCAATAGAACAAGTAATTCTCAATACAAAATTACGTTGACTTTTTTCAATGTGTAATAAAACTTTACTTAGTTTTTAAATGTTGGATTGATTAATAGTAGTAAAGAATGGTTGGTAACACATGACATATCTGAAAACTCCAAGTTAATAGTTAATATATTAGAGAAAGATAGTGAACACTAACATTAGAAATACTGCTCTCCCAACTTAATACTAGTAAAAACATTACATTTAAAACAACTTTGTGTTTCACTATTATTATTATCATTATTACTATTATAGTTATTGATGTAATAACAAGTCAGCGTAAATTGGGTAACACTTGGAAACATACAATTACATTCTAATCGTTTGCTATCGGTTGAAATAGAAAACTGGGGATTTATTACTCATTATAACACTTGTAATACTAAGAAAATGCATTGTGGTTAACATAACTAATGATTTAATAAACATAATCTACATAATAAAAATGACTAATAGTATAAATCATAATTTAGATAAACGAACTAAGTAACTAATGAATCACAAATGATTGTTTCTGTGAATACAAACTAATCTGATTCGGAGAAGAAAAAACCTTTACAAAGTATCTTAAGATAAACGAATATAGCAGTAAATATTGATAAATGCAGACTTATGAAATTTGGTTTGTTCTATTTCATCGAGTCGTGTTGTTTAGCAATGTTTTGCCTGGCAACAAGACTTATTAACCAATCATCTCATAAAACAATATTAAGGTGGCCAGTGTGACTAGTGACTAGTGTGACTAGGGGTAGCTATACAGGAATAACAGCATTCAAACACTAATCAATCTGTAAAACACTAGTTTCACAAAGTTGAATACTGTTCATCGGGTTATTGATTGTTTTTAAAAAATTCTGGGTAATGATTCACTGGCGGGTAAAATATAACAGAATAGTTCAAATAGGGTTAATAGGAATAAGTCTTCCCACTACTTTTACTCCTTAAAGACACAAATATCATTTAGTGGTAAAACAATAGTTAGAATACATGATATTATTTAACCTACTTGTATGGTGAAGGATTTTTTGGCGATTTAGCATCCTGTGGTTCTAAGTAGTGTTTTTGTACAAATTGAAATTGGCCATCAGCATTTCTTTGAATGATTACTAATGGGTAATTCATCTGTTTCATCCACGTATCCATTACGGCTTTAACATTCACATCTTTACCTGCACGTCTTGCTGCCTGAAAATGAAATAAATATTTCTAATAAAAAATGAATACGTTTTCAATATAATTAAAGATTATATATTCTTTGATAATTCTAACTTTGTTGGTTGAGATCATGAGTCATTTGAAGCCAGACAACGATGGAAAACCTGGAAGCACTCCAAGATAGTTTTGTCCTAGCATGGGACTCCTCGGCGGTGCACACCAACAATCCCACCTCGCGAGACTGTAACCCAGAACCTATCGGTCTCGCGCATGGATGCCTAACCTCTAGACCATTGAGCCGGCATCCAATGGTGTTAATGTCTAACTTCAACTAATCCATGAAATTGAGTGACACATTCACTATTGTCTTCAGTGAGTTACTATCTCACGACCGATCCGGTTGAGCTCCACTGGTCACTGCTTCTCACGGGAACTCCAGGAACGCGCACTGCTGAGAAGTCCCACAATAGGACAAAATGGCACTTCAGTGCTCCAGGTATCCCATGGTGGTCTAGCTTCAATTGACTCATGATCTCAACTATTGAAATTTCAATTTTGTTTATTACAATAAAGAATTTCAGATAACAATGCTGAACGAAATTATTTGAATTCCAATCCCTAAGATTACTTGAAATATAATTTGCACAAGTGATATACTAGATACTTTAATTCTAGTATAAACACGTATTTATTCCCAACCCCGAATAATAACTGTACTACCTAGTGTAGCTTCAATATTCAATGAACTTCAAGTTAACTACGTAATGAATATTGATCAGTAGTTGAAATTATTTCTGAAGATACAAACCATTCACCATGAAACATATAAACTACTTCATTGGATAATTTAAATATTGAACTGATCATTCCCGTGTTTCATTAAATCATAATAGTCAGAAGAACACAGATAATTAGGTAGTTCTGTTGATCTGACAATTAACTTCTCAACAATTACTTACTAACGCCTGTTACTCTCAATTGAGCATAGGCCACCGACCAGCATTCTCCAACCAACTCTGTCCTCGGACTTCCTTCCCACTTCTGTCCATTTTGTCCATTCTTCTCATGTCGGTCTCCATTTCTCGACGTAATGTGGTCTTTGGTCTTCTTATCATCCTTTGGCCTTCAGGATTCCAAGTGAGGGCTTATCTTGTGACGCAGTTGGGTGCTTTCCTCAATGTGTGTCCTATCCACTTCCAGCGCTTCCTCCTGATTTCTTCCTCCACTGCGATCTGCTTTGCTCTCTCCCATATTAGGTAGTTGCTGAAAGAGTCTGGCCAACGGATCCAAAGTATTTTGCGTAGACAACTGTTAATAAACACTTGTATCTTCTGTATGATGGCTTTGGTAGTTCTCCAGGTTTCCGCCGTAAACAGGAGAACTGTCTTGACATTTGTATTGAGAATTCTGAATTTGGTGCTGGTTGACGGTTGTTTTGAGTTCCAGAAGTTCTTCAGTCGTAAATATGCTACTCGAGTTTCTCAACAATGCATGCTTATAAATTCTTCTTGGTTTTATAGGTCAGATTATCAATCCTCATTGTTCATTCAAATGATCAGCATTTTCTAATTACGCTTAATTTCCAATATGCTTTCATTTTTATTTATTATGATCATCACATACCCACTCATTACCTCGCTGAAAAATTCCATAATCGTTTAATCTCCATAAGAAAGTTCTTCAAGAACTATGGCTTACCATTACATATTCACACGTACATTAAATATTTAAATAAATTACATTCCCCAGCTTTACTCATTTGCAATGACCTCAAGTGTGATTCTGCTTAGCTACCACCTTTTTTTAAACCTTGATTAAGTACAATAAGATGTAAATTTAATTATCCCCAATTATTTATCAGAACCGTCAACGGTATAAATAGTAAGCGTGAATGATGATTTGCATAAATCAAATTAACAAGGTGAAGGTGTTAACCCGAATAGAAATCAGTTAGTATCTAAATGAAATATAACATACACCCGATTGATAGTAAACTTTATTATCGCATCCAATCTAATTTCCGTATACATGACACAGAAAATATTATCATCATCATCATCATCATCATCATCGTCATCATCATCATCATCATCATCATCATCATCATCATCATCATCATCATCATCATCATCATCATCATCATCATCATCATCATCATCATCATCATCATCATCATCATCATCATCATCATCATCATCATCATCATCATCATCATCATCATCATAAAACTGGTATATGTGACTTAATTTAAGGTGAATAAGAATAATGACACTTAGTAAACATACTTCTCTTTATTATTCGGTAATATACTGAAAGAAAATAAAGTATATTGTTATATGAAAAGTTTGCCATATTGTATGGAAATCATTAACACAACTTTTACATATAGTAGGTTGTAAAACAACTTGACAAGAAATATCAAATTTCAATCGGTATAGATAAATGACATAAGTGATCCAACGAGATCAAAATTTATCAATCATATTATTATTAGGTCAACGAATAAATTCCATAGTGAGTAAAATCAATGACATACCTCTGTGAGCGCCCTCCACAAATCTTCATGAACAGTATTCTTATATTTGTTTTGATATAGATAATTGTGTAACAAAAATAATGTCATAGAAACAATCATCACAAATATGCTATATATATCAGAAAGGGTTTGTGAAGATTTTAGAAATTTCACAGATTGAAATCATGAGTCAATTGAAGCTAGACCACCATGGAAAACCTGTAAGCACTGGACGGCCGTTTCGTCCTAGCATAGTTTTCTATGTTGGTCTAGCTTCAATTTACTCATGATTTCAATCTGTGAAATATATGTATATATATTCAGAAATTCCACTCATTTTTCATGTATTTCTCATCCAAATATAGGATTAACAAATTCAGTCATGATCTCTTATTATTTCACAATTCCATACAAACTTCATTTTAATTTCTGTCGAACAACTAATGTCTGAGTAATAACTGATGAGTTGATCATCATCATCATCATCAACATCGGCAGCAGCAGCAGCAGTATAGTTTTTCACCTCACGGTGAATTGATCACACAAATCTGATAATTGGTTTTAAAGATTTCCGTCAAAAATATTTCTGATAAGAGATCTGATTTTTTCTGAATATATTTTTATTATCAAAATGGAATAATCAAAAATTTGATAAGGACTTTTCAGTGTTGGTGTTTAAACATAATAAGGAATTTTATCAATGAAAGTATAACGGTTTATGATGTATTATAAAGCAATAAAACAGATTAAAATGTATTCCAAACTCTTATCCCAAACTCATTTGTTATGACAGTCTGATTCGACTATGGAAATATTGAATTTTTGTCTCTATATACCTCACTGTCAGATATATTTCATATGATCTGTGTTTTTCAACTATGTATTCCATTTATCCTTGAAAACAGAATGCATAAGTCATTGACAAAATCACCGTATTTCAAAGAGTATGTGTATCATGTTTGGTCGTTGTTTTTTCAGTAAATTCTACATAAGTTAGTACAAACTTCTCGATTTCTGTGACGTGACTTTTATATAGTTGGAAATTACTACTTTTGAATTTTACATGATACCAGTTATAGATGATAAACTGATTTCTTCTTCATGTGAGAATATGGGTTCTAAACTTTTGTAAGTATATATATACACCTGATTCAAAACATTTTCACTATGGCTAGACTTTGTACCATTTTTCAGTTGGACTGAATATTTGGATGTGAAACTGATGACCTTCGTAGTGAACGTCTAAATTTCATGCCAGTCTATTGTTTATTTATTTAATTCTGCCTAGGATGGTCTGACGGAAAGTATATTGGATATTTAATTGTTATTAAATAAGCGTTAGTGAGACTTTAGCGTAAACTTACTTTCTATTCCCTTTTCGTTCCATCGAAACGTGTTCTTGCTAAATACACGATTTATTCCCTTATCCTGTTTAAAGTTAGTTCATTTAAGTTAATTTACCTCTGAAGAAGTGATTTGTTCCAAGTTGCAAAGCATTCAAAATTCAATCTACTACTCATGAAGATAAGTACATTACTTTTTAATTCAAGTCACTAAATAATTGTAGGATCGAACGGCTATTTCTTAGTAGTAAGGAACTCCACAATACTGTAAAAGCCTCTCTACTAACAATAAACATATGTTTACCACTAACGAATTTCGAGAATTAATTTCCTGAGTTTTAGTAAGTTGCTGTGATCACTGAAATTCAACCTAGTCGATAATGTGGAGGTTTCCATTCCATGACACTGGGATGGGTTAATACCTAATAGACTAAATTTATGAAAATCATTACAATGTTTCATTGAAACTGAAATTAGAACAATCTTTCGTCTTGATACACATTCAGGTATAAATTAATAGAAGCTAAGAACAATGAACAAACTTAGCAAATTTGTCTGAATGAGTAGATAACTTTACTACTACCAACATGAATGACTCACTAACTAAAGATAATTATTAGTCTATTTAAACAAGTGTTCATGAATGTCGTTTACAAATGGAATGAGAAGGTATAAGTAATTTACTGTATTACTTTAATATGGTGGTTGGAGGTAGTTAACAAGAAATCGTGTAGGGTTCATGAAATATGGAGTCACCCAGACTGGTAGCCACATTGCAACTTGGTCAAAAAGACTTGATCTACACTAAGAAGGAAATGACATACATGACAATGATTGCCACCCAGTGATCGATCAATTGTAAACTGTAATACTTTAGAGAATTGTGATGTTTATATGAACTAATTATCTCTTTGGACGTAATGCCCGCCTGATTTTGAATTCCGAATATAATACGTTCGTTATCTTTGGTCTAAATTGCGTTATTTCTAGGATTCCTAGTTCGTGTAATAATTCAAATACTTTTAATCATCTCGATTGAAGTATCATTCCGCCAAGATTTTAGGTACAGTCCCAAACAGACTACAAACTAGATTTAAGGCCTTTATTTGGTTCGCTCCTACACCTAACTCACATTCTACATTTCACTCCAGCTTCAAACATTTAGATAAACGCGTGAATGCTTTATTTACATTGAACTTTTGAACATATTGATACAATCTGCACCGTTGATAATTTTAATTAAAGCAAGAACAACATGATTTGAAGAACAAAATGAATTCACTTTACTTCAAGTCTTCTCAACAACTGCAAATAGTCTAAAGTTACTATCAATAATGTTATAGTGAATACAGCTTTACATAACTATGTAAAATAAAACTGAGATGGGTGTTTGGCAATCAATTTGAAATCATAATATGTTGAGAAAGGCACAAGATGTGGTATTAAATTAGTTCAAGTGAAGCGTCTTTATATATTGAAATAAAACAAAACAGATCATCATTTAAAGTAGACGTATTCATCAATGATTATGATGAAACAGAACACAGCATAACATGGTAAAGTTGGAAATAAAGAAATGATTGCACGATGAATTATTATAGTTAAATTTAAAATCAAACGAATATGTGAATATTAATAATAGTATGCAATAGCAAAACTTATTTCATTAAAGTTCTATTAGCTATTACAATGAGAGGTTTACCACACTTTTCTTATATACATAGAGTTCACATCTGAAAAGTTTACAGTGGTTTTATAAAAACCGGTTAGGTGGACGTTAGCTGGTTATAAGTTTATTCGAATGCTTTCGAAATAAACAAATTTCTAGTAGCCCTGTGATCTGACTCCAACTTCATCGAACGATGATGTCGACGAAATATACATTTCTGCTACCCTTGTGTGTAATTATCGACTTAATTCGCCCTAGTGAACTACAGAATCAAATAAGTAAATTAAGGGATGAATCCTGGGTACGTACATTTCATACACTCATTGATCAAAAAAGACAATCAGTGAACCGAAGCGAAGAAACAGTTCAGAGAAGGCAAACGTGCCAACCCGATTTGATCAAGCGTGACTCAGTATTTGTAGTCAGATAAAAATAAGCTAAAAATGTGATGAATAAGGTAAGCGATACAAACACATACACTCGCATTAAAAAAAGTCAAATTAATTGAACGAATAATTGATAAGGTCAAGATGTAACTGATGAAAAATAAATACATTGGTCTATTCGCAAGCTAGAGTAACCCATTTGAGCCTTATATAACACTAGACACCACAGTTATATTCGTTATTTATTAGGTAGTCACTGGTTGCACTTGTAAAGACATTGATTCCTTCCAGACATGATATTCTGAGAAAATGTTCAAATAACGTAGTGGAAATATTCCTCCCATTAGATTCTGTATACTTCTCACCACAACTACATGTAAATCTATAAATGATGTCACGAGTGTGTTGGTTTGATGATCGATTGGTGTTGTACAATGAAATCCCCTAAGCTGTAGGAAAGCTCCGTTTCCATACCTACAGTCTCTATGTACCTTGAAAAACAGGAGAAAACAGACTCTTTGCTACACTTTAGAAAAATGAGTTGATTTATTCGTTCACATCCTATTGCAAGTTTTATGTTCCCATAACATTTTTTGAAAGAACAAATCAAACAAAAATCACTATTCATCTAATCATGAATGAAAAGGTATCACCACCGTACATGGAGTAGTATGTTTTCTTATTTTAGATTCCGTTTTTTTCTCTAATATGTTAGTCATTAAGACATTTATTCAAATAAGCTTCAATGGTAATCAAATGGACGAAACATAAGTGAAACACAGAATAGAAATATTTAGTCACTAACACTTTTACACTACGTAACCTTCCTTTATTGAACTATGTTAACAATCTTCAATAAATAGCGATGTAAATTTCGATTCCGTTATTGAAATCGGAATGAGGTCAAACTTTTTATTTATTTAATAGATTGATGCATACAATTCATTCATCTAAATGTTTCTCTAAAAAACACTTTGTCTTCACAAATATAAAACTCAAACTTAATCGATTCGAAAATTGAAACAAATGTCCTCTAGAGAAAATGAAGAAGTTACCGATTGCCAGTTAAAATTTTCAATTTTGCAAATTCTTCTGGTTATTTGAGAAACTACTGAATATACTACTTAACAATTTGGAAGTAGTCAACTGAATACAAATGTAATAACTGAATGAAAATTGTGGACATGCGAAGTATAACGCAATAAGAAAGCATTCTGTAACTGAGGTAAGCAATGAAACTTACGCTTTAACAGTTGGGCGAGTTGCGTTTCCCCCTCTGAAAAAATTTGACAATGTTAATGACATTTTGAT